GCGACCCCGGATTAATAAAGGGACTAAGCCGACAAGAAAATGAATGAATGAATGAATATTAAGTGGACTTCATTTGTTTAAATAAATTAATATATGTATTTATGCATTTGTTTATTGGCTGGTACGTATGGACAAATTATTTGGATAACTTTAAAGTATTGCACACAACTTCTTTGTGCTAATAATTTGGACTTATACTGCTTATTAATAACAATAAAATGATTATTTATATTTATTAGATTTAATTATGTAAAATAGATGAATTTATGTATTTATGTAAACGTTTGGCATATTTGACCAATTTATTTGGATCATTAATATATAACAATACAATGATTATTTATAATACTTTTTTCATTTAATTTAATTTGTTTAACTAGATTAATATTATGTATTGGCATATATGGATAAAATTATTTGCATCACTTTATTTTTTTACTTACTTTAAAACCCTTTTGTGCTAATATTTTAGATCTATACTACTTGGTAATAACAATAAAATAATTGTAGCATTTATAATAAGTAGATTTAAATTGTTTAAACAAATTAATATATGTATTTATGTATTTGTTTATTGACAGATATGTATGGACATATGGAGCTAATTGGATCACTTCCATATACAGCACAAAACCCTTTTGGGCTGATAATTTGGATTTATACTACTTAGTATTCACAATAAAATAAGTGTATTGTTTATATTAATTAGATTTAGTTTGTTTAAATAAATTAAAATATGTGTTTATGGATTTGTTTATTGAAATAGAGACATTATTTGTATCACTTATCACTATAGCACAAACAATTTTGTGTCAATACTTTTGACTTATACTACTTATTAATAACAATAAAATAGATGTTTTTTTTATAATAATTAGATTTAATTTGTTTAAATAGACAACAATATGTATTTATGTAAATGTTTATTGACATACAGTTGAAGTCAGAATTATTAGCCCCTCTTTGATTTTTTTTATATATATATATTTCCCAAATGATGTTTAACAGAGCAAGGAAATTTTCACAGTATGTCTGATAATATTTTTTATTCTGGAGAAAGTCTTATTTGTTTTATTTTAAGGTCAAAATTATTAGCCCCTTTAAGCTATATTTTTGGATAGTCTACAGAACGAACCATCGTTATACAATAACTTGCCTAATTACCCTAGCCTGCCTAGTTAACCTAAATTTTTAAGCTTTTACATATCACTTTAAGCTGTATAGAAGTGTCTTGAAAAATATCTACTCAAATATTATTTACTGTCATCATGTCAAAGATAAAATAAATCAGTTATTAGAAATGAGTTATTAAAACTATTATGTTTAGAAATTAGTTGAAAAAAATCTAAACAGAAATTTGGGAAAAATAGTAAACGGGGCTAATAATTCAGGGGGGCTAATAATTCTGACTTCATTTATAAATGGACAAATTATTTGAATCACTTTAATATATAGCACAAAAACATTTTGTGCTAATAATTTGGACTATACTACGATACAATACTTTATTGTCAGACTTGCTTTAGAATTTTTTTCTTGCTTAACAGGATGATAAATACTCCTTACAGAGACAAAGACATACAAAAAAATCCAACCCAATTCATTTTACGCAGGCCTTATTCAGCTCCAAGACAGCTTGATGTAAATATCTTTTTTTTTATTTCATTTTATTCAAACTTGGGGATCTAAATTGACGGTTAGACTTGAATAGTATAAATTGATGATTCAACACATAAAAAGGGTTCAAAAAGATGTTCCTTGCCAGCCTTGTGAGGATCTTGTAATATGAACAATCATATAATTTCCCAAGAGGCTTTACCATCTTGCAACAGATTTTAATCTGGTTCATCAACTTTGTTTTTAGACTCATAGACAGACTCATATACCATACAGAATTACTATACTGCAGAACACGTATAAGTACAGACATAAAAGAAATGTTTTTCGATGCTCCAAAAGATCTAAGACGATGCAAAAAAAAAAGATTCTTTGTTTTATATTGTTGCACACACTATCAGTATGATCTTTCCATGAAACCTTGTTATATCTTATTACACCCAAATGCTTATATTTGTCTAGCTGTCTGATGTTTACATTATAACTACAGGGTTTGTAGATACATCAGGTATTGTGGACCTCAACACGATTTCCTCTTTTTTTCCAGGTTAATCACAAGAGCATTTCTGTAACACACTACACAAGATCATTCACACTTTTCAAGAGCAATCATGTAACTTCTACCTTGCTCAGTAAAGTTAATAATACTGTATCGTCTTACATACTTCACACCGCATTCCACTTAGTAATAACAATAAAATAACTGCATTATATTAATTACGTTTAATATGTTTAAATAAATTAATATCTGTATTTATGTGCTTGTTTGTTGATAGATAAGGACTAATTATTTAGATCACTTCATTATAAATAGCACAAAGTGGAGTGTGTGTGTGTGTGTGTGTGTGTGTGTGTGTGTGTGTGTGTGTGTGTGTGTTAATTATTTCTTACTTTAAAGTAAAACAAAGGCTTCTGGAACTTCAATAAGAGGTAATGTAACAGTTTTGGTATATTATAATGTTTTTTAAGTATGTTAGAAAGGGTTTTTCATAGCGTTAAGATGTGAAAATGTCAGTGGCATTAAATAATCTAGATAAATTAAATAAATATTGTAAAGGATGTACGTATATTCTTATTATTTCCTAAGATATATTTCAGGAAAATTAATGCATTAATGTAAAGGAAAGCTGAAGTGCAGAACACATAGACGCTTCATTTGCATTCATATTTTGAGGCTAATCCATCTGAATCGCTGAGATTTTACATGCAATCACAGCCACAGGACAGCATCAGCCAGTCCACTGTGAACAGAGAGAGTCTGCATCATCACAGATGGTGCTTGAGGGCTTTGATTGTGCTCGGTCAAGTACCTGCCTGAAAAGTGAGAGTGTGCAAAGCTTTTGTTTGACCATATGTGCGCATACATGTCATGGTTGCTGTGTGCATTTAATTTTAACACGTTTTACACTGACTGAGTCCTTTGCAGGCTCACGGATGTCCTTCAGGGTTGACTTCTTTGTGTTTTATTTTCCAGATGGTAAACATGATCTGATTCACCGCGTTGGCTGTTGCTAGTTTAACCTGTGCAATTGTGCTTGTGCTTGCATTTATTTATGGCAGAATGCATCGCAACAAACACCTACTTTGCATGCATCTCATTTGAATATGAAGCCCCGCCTCGTGTAGTGGGCCCAGAGTTGTTGACCCATAGTCAGTACCTTTGAAGCACACTGTTTTTCCTCCACTAAACCAATACACAGACAATATTTATAGTTTTGAAATAAAGAAGATCAAGATCTATTAGGCATAAAAAGCATATAGGAAATGTTCTTATGGTAAAGTAATGAAAGTAATACAAATAGTTGATTATTCATATTAATAATATAAACTTTTTTTAAGCAATATTAGGTCCATCCAGACTGATCTTTAAAATTACTCATTTTGTATAATTATACTGCTTAAGACTTGATTAAGGGTGATTCAACTTTACTTGGATAAACATATTGAATTGCTTACACATAGTATATATTTCAAATTTTAGTAGAATAATAGAAATAATAATAATAATAATAATAATAATAATATTATCAATAATAGCCTACTATCAATTGTTAAATGAGAGTACTAATTATTCAATGGAATAATTGATGCACATTTTATATTTATTATTTGTTGCCATTTAATATAATGATAACAGCAAAAACAAAAACAATAAAATAAATAATAATAACAGCAATAGATACTGATTAATAATATCATTAAGTATTTTTATGTATTTAAATTAATATATCGCTGATGATGAGGATAATAATAAGGGTGATTATAATAATAAATATTACTTTTATTTAGTAGTTTAATCATAATATTACTAATGTAGACTTTATGTAAAATATCTGGCTTTTAAATAATAAAGAAATTAATTATACCATTATTATTGTTATTATTAATATTATTATTATTATTATTATTATTATTATTTATAAATGACAGTACTAATTATTCAATTGAATAATTGATTTACATTTACAATTTTTGTTTGCTGTTCTCATTTAATATAATAATAATAATAATAACAACAACACATACTGAGTAATAATATTATCAGTATTTGAATATTTTTTATTTATTTAAATGTATATTATAGTGCTGATTATGAGGATGATGATTATACTAATGATGATAATAATAGTTATATTTACTATTATATGCAGAAGTTGTAGTATTTTTTATTTAATGTATTTATTGTTCATTTATTGTTACTATTATTCTAAAATGTGCTTTGTGTCATTATATATATATATATATATATATATATATATATATATATATATATATATATATATAATATTATATTTATATTCATATAAATTCTCCCAAAACAAACACACAAACGAATAAAATGGTATTTATTTTGGGTTTACTTTAATCAATATATTACTTAAGCAGACTTTTTATGTAAAATATTTTGCTTTTAAATGACAAATAAATAAATAATATAATACCATTATTATTATTACCTTTATTATACTGTTGTTTTACATTTTCCCATTAATAAAAACGCATCAACCAATATGTGTGAAGCACAAAATCTGGCAAAAGGAAAGGGGAGAAAAAACCTTTCTCTGGAGGATACAGAGCGAGCGAGCGCTTCTCCCCTCCTCCGCCATGTGATGACGGACAGACTGTATCACCGGAGCGAAGCTTGAAGTCACTCTCATCAGCAACAAAGCGAAGCAACAGCAGCAGCAGCACTGACGTAAACCCTTCACCACATCACCGGAACCATACGGACCCGGACCGACACCATACCGAAAGGACGTATAGGATGCACACGGAGCGCTGATCGTGATGAGGCTCGGACTGCGATTCACGGCAACATTAGAAATGCGCGTTAAATGGAGACTCATGACAAGAGATGCTGCAGGGTGCCGCATTGCCTGGCCGCTTGATGATGGTAGGATAGAGCAGCGCTTTTAACCGTCATTGGGGTGGGATGGAGTGAATGAACGGATTTGTAGTCTAGTCAATGCCTCCGATTTGATCATATACGCAAACTCAGACGATTTCCGCCTGCTTAAGCCATACAGACACACACACACAGACACACATATACATATACAATCGATGAGCACGACCAAATGAATGTACGTGATGTAATGTTATTAATAAACCTATGATACAGGTGAACTCATGAGCTGAAGTAACAGTGTCGTAGCTCACACTCAGGACCATCTCCAAAGTCAGGTTTTTATTTGAAATCACTGCAGCGATAGGGCTCTTTATGATTGGCATTTTCATCATTAACATATAGAGTATATATCTATATATAGTGGTAGTACAGTATAGTCAGCATTGGCTCAGTGCAAGGACAATGACTCATTTACAGGCAGGCCTGTCTCCAGAAACCCTGGAGAAAGCCAAGGTGGAGTTAAAGGAGAACCCCGACACTTTGCATCAGGACATACAGGAGGTGAGGGACATGATCATCACCCGTCCAGACATTGGCTTTCTCAGGACAGACGATGCTTTCATCCTGCGCTTTCTTAGAGCTCGTAAATTTAACCATTTCGAGGCCTTTCGCCTCCTGGCCCAATACTTTGAGTACCGGCAACAGAACCTAGATATGTTCAAGAACCTGAAGGCCACCGATCCAGGGATCAAGCAAGCTCTGAAAGATGGATTTCCTGGAGTCCTTTCCAATCTGGATAGATATGGGAGGAAGATTCTGGTCCTGTTCGCAGCCAACTGGGATCAGAGCAGGTAGGAAGCTATTGGATTTTGGCTAATTGTGGGTAATGACACGCACGGTCAGAGCTGTCTTTAACACATCAGTCTTCTGTCTTTCATGACAGAGTGATGTTTAGACATTAAATAAAGGTTACAACCTATGATGTTATACATATTGTAGTATTAGTAAATGACTTTATGATAACTTAGCATGTGTGAGATGTTAGGAAGGAAAAAAAAAATAGTACATTTGTTACATTTTTATTTTTTCAAAGATGGCACAGCCAAACAAAAACTATGCAAATATACAGTTGAAGTCAAAATTATTTGATAAAAGCAGTTTTTAATTTTATTAAAACCATATTAAGATCAATATTAAAAGCTCCCTTAAGAAATCCTTTTTTTGATTGTGTACAGAACAAACCATCATTATACAATGACTTGCCTAATTACCCTAACTTTAACCTAGTTAAACCTTTAAATAGCACTTAAAGCTGAATACTATCTTGAAAAATAGTTAGTAAAACATTATGCTGGCCCATAGCCAGGGGGTGGGGGTTTGGGGTTCGGATGGTTCGAAAGGCCCAACCCCCTACTGACAAAATCCAGAATTTGACTCCAAATGAGCTAATTTGTCCCATTTGCTAATTTGGAGGCTAATTTGGCTTTCATAAACTGTGAAAATGAAAGACTGAAGATGGCTTTATGATAAATAAAAATTTTAGTTATTCAAATAGACAAATTCTGAATAAATAAATGAGCTGGCCAGTTTGTTATTTACCTATAGGCTACAGTTTAACAGATTCCTAATTGTTTTGGTTTTTTTAATGATGTATAATAATAAATCTTTATTTTTAAACTTTGTTCAAAATGTTTAATTTAAAATTCTAATCTCATTACATTATTTATGAACCTGTAATAACTTACAGTTTAAATGAACTTTTGTAAATAAACCCTTCACGGTAAAATAGTATGGTATGCAATTTGACAAAAATCTAGGAAATATTTTTATTGCATTAAAAGTGGCGCAGTAGGTAGTGCTGTCGCCTCACAGCAAGAAGGTCGCTGGTTCGAGCCTCGGCTGGGTCAGTTGGCATTTCTGTGTGGACCTTGCATGTTCTCCCTGTGTTCGTGTGGGTTTCCTCTGGGTGCTCCGGTTTCCCCCACAGTCCAAAGACATGCGGTACAGGTGAATTGGGTAGGCTAAATTGTCCGTAGTGTATGAGTGTGATTGAGTGTGTGTGTGGATGTTTCCCAGAGATGGGTTGCGGCTGGAAGGGCATCCGCTGCATATAAATGTGTTGGATAAGTTGGCGGTTCATTCCGCTGTGGTGACCCCGGATTAATAAAGGCACTAAGCCGAAAATGAATGAATGAATATCACTAAAATGCAATATTTGAACCTCATAATTTAACAGAAAATGAACTATATGACTGCAAAATGGTCCACTTTTTGAGATAAAATAACCACCCCTTCAATAAGCTGGCTACAGGCCTGTTATGTACTGTCTTCATGGCAAAGAAAAAAGAAATCAGTTATTAGAAATGTGTTATTAAAACTATTATGTTTAGAAATGTGTTGATAAAATCTTGTTTCCATTAAAAAGAAATTGAGGAAAAAATATACAGGGGTCTAACACTTCATGATTCTGACTTCAACTGTAAATGAAAAGGTGACAACACCAAAAGCTCTAGAAGTATCAAATTTATTCACTTACTGTAATAATGGTGTGCTCGCAATGTCACACGCTGTTGTAGCCTTTTTAAATGAATAAATCTGATACTTTTGGAGCTTTTGGTGTTACTGCCTTTTCATATATATTTGCATTACATTTTCTTTTACAAAATTGATTTAACCCTCTACTAATTTCAGTTTCCATCTGAGGTTACTCAGGGAGATTCATTATCATTTCAACCTACCTAGTATTAAGATACGTTCAAACATTTTTGTCATGCTCTACATCACTTTCTGGGTAGGATCTCATGAATGATGTTGAGTTGTAAAACGAATGAACCAACATTACTTGATTTGTAAGCAAATGAAAATTGTCTGCATGACAAATGAAATACGTATGGAATTATTGTTTTGCTGCCTTTTCTCGTAGCCAACCTTTAATAATCGTGTTTTCATGTAGTTGGTCATTTGTTGCTATTATTACATTCGACTATGTGAATGCCTGTCAAAAGCAATCCAATTTGATTTGTTGTAGACTAACCCTGGAATTGGTTGAAAGCATAAAATATTGCATGCCCATATACACCTGTATTTAGCCTCATCCACTTGTGATCAGTGTTATGAAGATACTTTTTAATACCAGGTGCAGACTGTGCATAGAGAAATGTTAACCTGATGGTTTGATTTAACATCTAAGCCATGGTGACTGATGACCTTTGATTGACCTCACCATATCCTACATGATGGTTCTCTATGTATCCCATTGTATATGTTATTGTCCTTATTACAGCATTACAACATACACTCACCAGCTTCTTTATTATAGGTACACCTGTCCAAATGCTCATTAACGCAAATTTCTAATCAGTCAATCACATGGCAGCAACTCGATGCATTTAGGCATGTAGACATGGTCAAGACGATCTGCTGCAGTTGAGCCTCAGAATGGGGAAAAAAGGTGTTTTAAATGACTTTAAATGTTGGTGCCAGATGGGCTGGTCTGAGTATTTCAGAAACTGCTGATCTACTGGGATTTCCACACACAATCATCTCTAGGGTTCACAGAGAATGGTCAGAAAAAGATAAAATATGACAGTTCTGTGGGTGCAAATGCCTAGTTGATGCCAGATGTCAGAGGAGAATGGCCAGACTGGTTCCAGCTGATAGAAAGGCAACAGCAACTCAAATAACCAATCGTTACAACCGAAGTATGCAGAAGAACATCTCTGAACACACAACACATTGAATCTTGAGGCGGATGGGCTACAGCAGCAGAAGGCCACACCGGGTGCCTCTCCTGTCTGCTAGGAACAGGAAACTGAGGCTACAATATACACAGTCTCACTAAAATTGGACAATAGAAGAATGGAAAAACGTTGCCCGGTCTGATGAGTATCAATTTCTGCTGCGACATTTGGATGGTAGGTTCAGAATTCGCATTTTTCATCAGTCGCAAATCATCTCATACTGGTTTATTGAACATGACAATGAGTTCACTGTACTCAAACGGCCTCCACAGTCATCAGTTCTAAATCCAATAGAGCACCTTTGGGATGTGGTGGAACAGGAGATTCACAGCCGACAAATCTCCAGCAACAGTGTTATGCTATTTTGTCAATATGGACCAAAATATCTGAGGAATATTTCCAGTACTTTGTTGAATCTATGCCATGAAAGATTACGGCAGTTCTGAAGCAAAAGGGGGTACTAGTAAGGTGTACCTAATAAAGTGGCAGGTGAGTGTATATTCAAATAAAAACTTAAAAGTTATTATTTTTAAAGAAACTTTTACTATTCTCCTACTTGTCTACTATCTCAAAACAATACATTATCTTATAATGTTAAAAAGAATGACCTTGACACATGCATGTAAGGGTCTCAGATCAAAATGTACATTACAATGACTTTCTTCTGGCAAATCTCAAGTAATGTACTGCTGAATAATTCATGAGGGCAAGTAATGTACTGAGATTTAGCCTTTCATTCATTTTAACTTTAGCCTTCAAGGGTTAATCTATTATCGGTGTGTCTTTGAATAAAGCACTTTATCCCAGTTACTCCAGTGACACTGGACGTGCAATAGGTGCAATGTACTGTAAGGCCCAATCCCAATTCTCTGCCTTAGCCCTTACCCCTACCCATCGTTTTTGCACATTCATGTGAAGGAGTAGGGGTGTCCCAACTCTCTTTAGCTTGAAGGCATAGGGCTAAGGGGAAGGGGTAGATACCCCTTCGAACATAGTTTTTTCAGGACCACACTCAAAACCAAGGGGTAAAAAAAAATTCCCAAAATACCAAAATAGAAGTGGAATTTAGCCTAAGTAGTTTGCTCAATCCCATTTTAGATGAAAGTATGATTTGATAAAAAAAGTAATTTAATATTATTATTTTATAGAGTAATCATATTGTGCATTTAATCGAAGTTTGCTTTAATGGGACTGAATGCTACTAATATAATTGTTGTTGGTTTTTTCACCAGTTAAACTCGGAATGAATTTGAACCCTATATTTGAGATTTTAGAAAATATAAAGGGGGCTCATGAACTATTGAACACTTGAGTCATTTTTAAGTTGTGTTTTTAAATTATTTTGTATGTAATGACATTCAAATTGAGTCAAAATCATACTTTTTCATGATATTACCTGCTATGTTGTGTGTAATCTTCTGTTTATCAGTGTAAAAGGTCTTTAATGTTTCAATTCTCAAAGTGAGCCAGTTATTGTCCCAGAACAAAGAGTTCATAACTTTGAACTGCCTGAAACAAGTCATTCTAAAGATAAGTAATTTCAGTCTTTCTTCCTGCACAGTCCTACGTAGGTTTGTATCAAATTTGCATAATGCCATGTCTTCATTGGTCATCTGCAAAGGACATCTGCTTTGTCCTCAAGCACTGTAGTAGTAACTGAGGTCTTTAAAAGTTTAATTAATGTCATTGACATGTTGAAATAACAGTATTATGTGCTGCAAAATAATATCCACCTCCAAAGTATAAAGACTTAGGCTTGAATTAATACCAAAACCAATGGCAGCGTTACTGTACGTACACAGTACACATGGTGAAAAAGCCTCTGTAGCTGATATTCAGAAATGTTAATGAGGGTTTTGTTTCCAATGTACTGTACGTTGTAAGTAATGGACCAATCACAACAGACTTTCCATATGACCAATAAGACTTTAGAATGATCAGATTTTTATATGAGCTATTTCTGACACAAGTGATGCTGTAACGTATATTTTCAACCTGTTTAATTGCATAATAGGAGTAATTATGACCAAATACATTTTGGGGTTGCTGTTTAGTGTGTGAATGTATGCATTAAAGAGTTAATTCACCCCAAAATGAAAATTCTTTTATTAATTACTCACCTTAATGTGTTCCAATCCCCCGAGACCTTCGTTCATATTTTGAATACAGATTTAAATATTTTAGATGAAATCTGAATGAAAACTGATGAAAACTGAACTGAACTTAAACACTAAAAACTGAACTACACTGTTCTAATTACTATGACCCTTTATGTGAAGCTGCTTTGACACAATTTACATTGTAAAAGCGTTATACAATTGAATTGAATTGATTTGAAATCCAGAGACCTCTCTGACCCTCCATAGACAACAGTGATCATGAGAAGTTTAAAGTCTAGGAACCAAAAACATTGTCGAACCATTTCACGTGGCTTCTGTGATTCAACTGCAATCTTGATGCTCAAAGAACACATTTGTCTTCCTTAAAAACTGTAAAAACGACTTTGTTTGTTGTCTTCTGTGTAAGATTAGGGTGCACATTTATTAAGGCCAATAATACAATCCAAGAGTTTACACTTAGCTGTCAATCAATAGAGCGTAATTGGCATGCTGTCCTGGGAGAGAGCCCTAAGCTTGTGATATCATTGAGCCCGGGGCTCCCTCCCTTTAGAAGGGCAAAAGGGGAGTCTGAGCTTAGGTTGGTCTTGAGAATTCCCCTGCTTGTCGCCATGTGAGAAGTGTAAGTCGATTGGGTATGGTGTATGTTTTTGGACGGTGGGACAAAACCGGGAAACCCAGGGGGAAACCCACGCGAACATGGGGAGAACATAGAAACTCCGCACAGAAACGCGAACCGGTCCGATAGGAGATTAGACCAGTGGTGTTCTTGCAGTGAGGCAACAGTGCTAGCCAATCGGCCACCGTGTTGGCCTATCAGAAAAAAGGGGGAAGTGGGGGTGGAAGGGCGGGGAACTTCAAGACAAAGATAACTGGAGTAAAAAACTGGTTATATATATAATGCTTTCGTAATCATCTAATAGAGCAGATTAAAGAGCTAATAAGGTGCCAGCTGTGTTGATTATAAGCACTTGATCCTCTTGAAATTAGTTTATAAATAAACCACACTTATTGTAGTATTGGCCTTGACAATGTATTGTAAATATTAACAATTATAAGGGTATATTTGTACTTATATATTACTAATATGCAAGTATTTATTGAGAATTTATGTAGTAAACACGCATGTTGACCTGTCATGCAAGAAAAAGGTGAACAAATTCATTTTTACAGTTTTTTTTTGGTGGACAAAAGTATTCTTATAGTGTTGAATGATTACGTTATGCAATTGGGGTGACATGAGGCTAAATCATTAATTACAGAATTTTCATTTTTGGGTGAAATAACCCTTGGAATGTGGATTAGGGCTATTTCAGAAGATTTACGTAGAAATTTAATCTTTTTTTTTTTCAATCATACCACTACCTGTTGATGTTTAATCTTGCCTCTTTAAACTGGAGAGTACATAATGCTCGAGTCTATATCAAACAACCTTTGAATCTGTGCCAGTCGCACCATTGCTTTGGATGGCAGCGCTCTTGGCATCCTCTCATAGGAACAATGTGTGACAAACACCAGGGTCAAGTCGTGCCTGATTTGCTGCATTTATTCAAGCATTATTGCAAATGTACTAAAGCCCTGTAGAAAAGTTTAAATGCAAATATTGAAGCATCCTACAAATACAAAGCAAACTTAGCCAGTAAATAAATATGAGAATTTGCTCATTTCAAAAAAGCAAGCTCAAATTCACAGTTTGTTTGCAAATCTTGCTAAAAGCTTCTGTTTATCTGCAGGTACACTTTTGTGGATATTCTGCGAGCTATTTTACTTTCTCTGGAGGCAATGATAGAAGACCCGGAGCTACAAGTTAATGGATTTGTCTTGATCATTGACTGGAGTAACTTCACTTTCAAGCAAGCTTCCAAGCTCACTCCAAGCATGTTGAGATTGGCAATCGAGGGCCTGCAGGTACCGTCTGTTTTCAGTCTTTATTTATGTTTACATTGGAAATCTGCATGGATTTAATATGCACTTTCAGTCGATGTACTTTCGTATAAGTCACTGCCATATCAAACATGTATACTGTTCATAAAGTGTGCATCAGGTTCAAATAATGAAAATTGCTTGGGGAAATTCTGCTGCGTGAGGCTGAACAGGTGCTTGTAGAGAAATCCCTCTCCGTCCAACATTTGCTATTCTCTTTGTGAGTAACATGAACGCGAGCTGACCCAGTGATCTAATGCAAGGGAACACAATGTGCATATAAATCCGAAATTAGTATTTTGCTTCACTTATTTCATATTTAACCAACTAAATAGCCTAAAATAGCTGAAAGGTGCCATAGAGTGCACTGATTTTATATGTTAAATGGTTCTCTGATGTATCTATTGTGGTTTTGTGGCTTAGGTAAGTGCAAAATAAATCCAGAAAAGGTTTTAGGTGCTCATTTGTAACCACAGGAATTACCCATAAAATGCATTGCTTGGTTTTGACCATATTTGGAAGAGTCTTGAATATTAATGAGCTCTGCTCTGATGCTCCATAGCTTGTGTCAGTGCTTGAATATTCTTGATTATAATAAGTTAAGTGGATTCTTTGTTAAATGACAATCTTTTCAACTGATGTGGTAGGTGTGGTTGATTTTAGCTAAAAGGGTTGAGTGAGCTATTTCAGTAACCCCAGAGCAACCTAGATTGCTTTTGAGTGGTGTTGTGGATGAAATCTAGGCTAAATTCTAATTAAACTCAACAAAACCTACATATACAGTTGAAGTCAGAATTATTAACCCCCCCTAGAAGTGTCTTGAAAAATATCTAGTCAAATATTATTTGAAGTCATCATGGTAAAGATAAAATAAATCAGTTATTAGAGATGAGTTATTAAAACTATTATGTTTAGAAATGTGTTTAGAAATGTGTGTGTGTGTGTGTTTTTTTTTTAGAATTATTATGTTTAGTATTATGTTTTAGAAATGTGTGTGTTTGTGTGTGAAGGGGGGGAGGGGTGCTAATAAATCTGACTTCAACTGTATGTATTTAGAGTTTTGCTTTGTGGTTTTAATATATACAAAATCACATAAGCAAATGAAAAATGTACATAAGAGTTGAGTGATATGACACGATGCATCAACCTTCATTAAACACTTAGGGTGCACTCACACTATGCTATTCTATGCTAACCGTGCCTAGGTGCATTTGCCGGTAAGTTTGATAAATGTAAATGCTCTGAATCGGGCAAAGTTCAGTTGGCCAGCCTTGGACCAGTTGGAAGAGGTGTGCCAGAGTGCGGTTTGGTTGGGCTTTGGCACAGTACACTTGTAGTATGAATGCAAAGTGCGCCTGAGCCCAGAACTGAAGATGTGATGTCATTTTAAGGGAGTGTTTCATATGAATTTATTAATCATTCTTACTTTTAAATGAACCAAACTGTCATAAATGAATAAAGATTAAACTGAACAGTCGCATCATCGATGACGTAAGCGTGCTGACCATCGGGGGAGATGGGAGGGGGACAATCGCGCTTTCGGCATGGTTCAAGGCAAATGTACCTAGTGTGAGTATGCCCTTATTTTCAGCAGTCCACCTGTGTTTGTTGCCTCATTAAAACATACATGGCACATTTCACAATATACAGGTTAAACTAACAAACGTGACAGTAAAAAAGACGTTAGGCCTCTTCGGAGGTGCTGAATAAAATTATAATCCGTATATCCCACATCTTGCATTCTGACGATGAGATGAGGTACTCCATGGCTGGTTTCATTAGCTGAGAGCTCTATAATGCCAGTTTCGTTTTCAAAATAAAAGTCTTACATATTTACATATATACATACACACATACACACACACACACACACACACATATATATATATATATATATATATATATATATATATATATATATATATATATATATATATATATATATATATAGTTATAGTTATATATATATATATATATAGTTATATATAGTAAATATAATACAACTTAAATTAAATATAAAAAATAAGTGGAAAATTGTCATTATTGTAATTTCATTTAGAAAAGTTATGGCCAATGAGATGCATATTATTGATCTCTTGTGGATCGTCAAGAGTCAGGGAATTTGCACTCACAGGGTTCACATCAGAATGAGGAAACAATGGTGTGTTTGAGGCTCACGCATGTCATTTCTATGTACTGAATTCTTACTATTAAGCTATGCTTAGGTATATCCACGTTTTTATTATATAGCACCTTCAAAGGCTGGACATGCACACATTGGGTGTAATTGTAGTAGTCTTTTAAGAATATATTGATTTAACTTTATGCTGTGTTGTTTCAACCCATATTTGGGTGAAATATGGCCAACCACTGGGCTAAACACTGTATTTTTTTCATCGCCGCTGGGTTTATTAACATTTTTCCCAAAATTGGATTAAAACAACCCAGCATTTTATTTGAAAAAAGAAAGCTTCTTTTAAAAGATCCATTTCCTTTCATTATAGTGAAGTAAACCACATATTTTGACTTTAATTTACTGCTCAAATTTCAGTTCTGGCATCTGATGACAGAAGGAAATGTCATCATTTAATAACCATCATGTTGTTCTGAGCCTGTGCTACATTCTAAGCAGTTACACTCTAAAAAATGCTGGGAAGTGTTAATCCATGCAACATTTGGTCAAATAGCATTGGGTTGACACAACCCAGCATTTTATTAGAATGTACAATCAGTGATGGTCTGGTGCTGTTTAGACCCCGTTGACTTTCTGTATTGACAAAAGTTGAACCCTTACTTTATTGAAATTTTCTATATTATTTTGATTTCTGCAGACTAAAGAAAGGAATGCAGGTTCAAAACATCACACAAGTGAGTCAATAATATAATATAATATAATATAATATAATATAATATAATATAATATAATATAATATAATATAATATAATATAATATAATATAATATAATATAATATAATATAATCATTTTCTTCATATTTTTTTTAAATGAATGATCCTTTTAACCACAAATAAAGTGCATAACTTGACGATTTATTTGTAATCCTCAGAGCTGAGTGCTTAATACTTTTATAACTACTAACGATGAACTTGTGGATGACGTTGTCATAAAGACCTCTGAAACCACCCACAATGTTCCAGTGTATTTGCATGGACACTCATCATGTACAATACACAAAATCTATTGTAACACCGCTATGACACATAACTGAGCAGCAGTCATCCATTGTGCAATAAAATGGTCAGCATGCGTTTAACAAGAGCTAATCTGCGCATAGACATCGTCCATTTCCAGAAGCAGCCTCTTGAAAGCCCTCATTTAGACATGGCTCCTTTGAGGAGGGCTTGGGTCTGATATGACATGTAGGCAGTTGCGGAGTGAGGCCTGTTGACTGAATATTAATGCGGGTCCATGATGAGCCTATTCCACATTCCAGTGCCTCTTCAGACAGATTAGCCGGTGAATAATTGATCGCCGCCATTAGCATCTCGCATCCACAATGTGCTGTTCACATCGAGTGGGACATCGCTTTTGTAGCCGCTTGAAAGGGAAACAATAGCGTAGATTGAGGGGAAAACAGCCACAGCTAATTAGTTACAGTTCAAAAGAGTGCTCATCAGTTAGCTTGTGTGCCCAAGTCATCGTTTACATGTGTAAATATTTACAGGAATTCAGATTTGTTTTGCATTTCTCATCTGATTTGCATGCTTCAAAATGTTACTAAGAATGACTTCTGCAATGAAAGATTACGGTCATCTTTTAGTGTCTTTTTTTTTTGAGAGAGAATTATTATAATTAATTATTATAATTTTTAACTAAATTTGACTCAAAATTACATAAAGACATACCGTTTAAGTCAAAATGATTAGCCCTGCTGTGCTTTTATTGTATAATTTTTTTATTTTTCTAATATTTCCCAAATGATTAGATTTGTAGAAAATTCCCAAGTGGAATTTTTCACAGTATTTGCTATATTATTTTTTCTTCTGGGGAAAGTCTTATTTGTTTTATTTTGGCTAGAATAAAAGCAGGTTTTAATTTTTTAAAACCATTTTAAGGTCAATATTATTAGCCCCCTTAGGCAATATATATAACATTACACAAGATGCATATTTTGAATAAATGCTGTACATAAAGTAGATTTTGCATGAATTTGTGAGTGTGAAATATGAGCCATTTCCTAAATTAAGAATAATCTTTCGTTATTTAAAAATGAGTTCTGTTAAGTTTTGTTACCCATGGTCTTGTGTGATATATGGCTCCAGTTTAACGATCTAGGCCAGGGGCCACCAATCTCGGTCCTGGAGGGCCGGTGTCCCTGCAGGGTTTAGCTCCAACTTGCCTCAACACACCTGCCTGGATGATTCAAGTATACCTTGTAAGACCTTGATTAGCTTGTTCAGGTGTGTTTGATTAGGGTTGGAGCTAAAATCTGCAGGACACCGGCCCTCCAGGAACAATTTTGGTGACCTCTGATCTAGGCACAAAGTCTAAAGTGCATGAAAAAAAGTGTTAAAGGCATGTCTGATTCACTTTTGCTATTTTAAGTACAAAAAAACATGTTCTGCACCCTGGTGCATGGTCTAACAGAGTTGTGCTTATTCTCTTAATGAGTTTTGGGTGTGTTTTGAGTATAAGCTGCATTAAACAAATTCAAGTCTCATCTCCCATTTCCTTTAAGAGTCGTGATATGGCGCATTTGCTATTAAATGGCGACTTTGTAAGTGAAAAAAATGAATGCTTCATTAGCGAGAAAACAGTTAAACAGAGCATCTGCAGCGCGAAGATAAAGAATGAGCCTCCTCCATTCTGTCTCTTTACTTTCTCTTTACTTTATTTTAACTCTTTACTCCTTTACTTTCATGGATAAGGAAACAGTGTTGTGCGCACTCCACTGAACACATCCATCAGCCTATATACTGTCATTAGTTTCATTTGTTAAGCACAAAGATTTGTTTCCAAACTATT